ACTTAGAAAAGGACATTTCAGAATTGTATGCCTCTAAACAACCCCATAGAGATTTTTTAAACTGCATGTGAATGTCAAAACTGCATCATATCTATAGGCACATTTTCAAAAGTTGTGTGTTGTGAAATTGATGATGATTACCGTGTAGTTTATAGCCTTCTGTAGTTGCATGCCTTGTTGTCTCATCACAGAATAATAATTCAGTTTGTCCAGTCCAACACCAATTTATTCACTTTAGATAGGGGAAAGAAGTGTCACACTCAAAGTATGAGTTTAAAAGTCAACTATTTCAACTCTGTCTTATTATTAAATACTATGGCTTAAAATATTTTATAAGTAGTAAACAACAAGAGGTAATAAAGCATAGATAAACAAGTTTTTTTTAACTGATAGTTTAGTTGATAGTTTCCTGATTAAACTGCCTTCTTTTAATATTGTATGTTTGTCAATGCCAAACAACAAACAAAACTTTTGAAGGTAAGCATTTTGTTGTCTTTGATTGTAATTCAATAGCGGTATTTGAAATAGATGACAATGGATGATTTAGAGAATAATAATGTGAATAATTACAAAACATCACAAATCATGGGTTGAATTGTTGTTTATAAAAAAAAAAATCCATTTTGAACAGTTTATTTCATCTTTAAAGTGTGCATACACTAAGCATCACTTAAATAAACTTTAACTTTAATTTAACTTTAATTAAGTCTGCGTTTAAAAGAATTGAAATCATGTTTATGAACTGCCCAGGAAATTTCACAAAACTTGCAATAAATATAGAAAACATTTGATGCTGTTAAAAATTAATCTTCAAATAAATCACTTTTTTTACTCTCGTTGATACTACTAATTTTTGTTACTAGAAGCAACCACATATGTTAAAAATTTAATTTAAAAATATCTTTAATCAATCAATTTCTTTTTTTTAGAACTTTTATGTTCTATCAATCTTTTTCTTCCAGGAAAAGGGAACCAAGAAAACGAAGTCCGAGGGGAATCTGACCAACAAGGGAACAACAAAACGCAGCAAGACAGCTCAGCCCAGCAAAACTCAGCACTAGTAGTTCAAACTGAACACAGAAAAAAAGAGACTTCACAGGTAGGAATGAAAAAGAAAAAACACACACACACAAAATTTCTACAAGCAAAAATGGACACATGACTAATAATATGAGAAGGCGAATTCTCTTTCAAAGCTTTTTTTTTTAAAGCAACAGCAAAAGTTAGAAATAAATGATTATTCAGATGAGTATTCACTGATAGAAATATTTACAAGTGTTTATTGTTGCAGATAACACAAGGGTATAGTGCATCAAAGACCTCATCTCATGCATGTCCACCAACTGTCTCTGTGTCACACCCATTAGCTGAGGACAAGAGCAAGAAACAAACTACGAAAAATGGCGAGTCAAAGAAAGCATCAAAATCATCCAAAAGCACTTTATGCTGTATCAGCTGACTGGAAACCCTCTAAACTAGAAAAACACATTTTTTTAACCATTTTTAGCAATATTCGCATCACCTATTATGGGGGACAAAACAAATGCTTTCATAATGAATCAATTTATCAAATTCTTTATATAAACCCTATTATTCTATGTATTTGTAGACATTGGCTCTTTCAAGGTTTTATGTGAAATGATGCTCTTGACCTGTCAGTGATATGCAGCAAAGTGCTTCTCAAACATTTCACTATGATTGACCATAAAGAATTATTCACATTGCAGCAGGGAAAGTGAGCAATTCATTATTATAATAATTATTGGATCATCTCCAATTTTGCTATACATTGAAGACCAGTCGCTGGCTCTTGAGGACTGGTGCCAGTCTGTTGACCACCATTTTGAGAAGCACTCATGTAGCATGTTTTCCAGGGATTGCACCCCTTGATCAATTGTGCCAGGGCATCAAGGATGTCATGTTTCTGAACAAATTTGCACGTGATGCCAGGACATCTAGGATGTCATGTTTATAAAACATCTGGCATGTGGTGCCATTCTTACCATCTGATTTATGGTAGGTACATATGAAACATTATAAATGGTGCTATGGCATCAAAATATGTGCTGTCTCCGAGTTATTGAGATGTGTTATAGCATATCTTATCACGGGTGTATTTAATAGCAGATCCTATCTGACAATAAGCTCCAAGAAGCATGTGGAAATTCCTTGCAATAAAAAAATCAGTAAATGAGACAGTATTGTGCAGTTGTTCCCCTTTGAGCAATAATAATGATTTATATTTTTTAAAATTTACTCTGTGTAAACGATTTATGTACATTATACAAATATTTATGGTAAGTTATGTCACAATCTCTATCCAGGTGTGTTTCAGACATCTGTTGCACCAGGATTAAGATACATGTGGGAAAAAGGCTTTGTAAGAAGAAAGAGCCAAATATTGTTCCACACACTGTTTAATGTTGTCTGTCTATCACAGTCCCCCCCCCCCCATCTCCCTCACAAACCACACCACCCTATGTAACATTATAATCCCTGTTTATAATAATTTTATTTCCATAAGGTTTGGTCTGCAATTATGCAACATATTTGTAAAAAAAAAGAGACAAATATTGTTCCCCACACTGTTTAAAGTTGTCTGTCTATCACAGTCCCCCCCCCCCCCCATCTCCCTCACAAACCACACCACCCTATGTAACATTATAATCCCTGTTTATAATAATTTTATTTCCATAAGGTTTGGTCTGCAATTATGCAACATGTTCATGTTTTGCTAATATTCTTCAGGGTAATGTTTACCAATGTTTTGAAGGTTTCGCTGCCAATGATGAATGCTCTTCAGGGTATTGCTTGCTGATGCTCTTCAGGGTATTATTGGCTGATGCTCTCCAGGGTATTGCTGGATGATGCTCTTGAGGGTATTGCTGGCTGATGCTCTTCAGGGTATTGTTGGCTGATGCTCTACAAGGTATTGCTGGATGATGCTCTTCAGGGTATTGCTGGCTGATGCTCTTCAGGGTATTGCTGGCTGATGCTCTTCAGGGTATTGCTAGCTGATGCTCTTCAGGGTATTGCTGGCTGATGCTCTTCATGGTATTGCTGGCTGATGCTCTTCAGGATATTGCTTCCTAAAACTTTTATGTCCATTTCATTATTCATTGGTCATCATTGAGTATTAAAGGAGTTGAGTTTCCTAAAAACATTTTAAATGTTATGATGGTGAACAGGTGTAGGGTGCAGCACTTGGCAGGGTGCAACGCTTGGCAGGGTGCAACACTTGGCAGGGTGCAGCACTTGGCAGGGTGCAGCACTTGGCAGGGTGCAGCACTTGGCAGGGTGCAGCACTTGGCAGGGTGCAGCGCTTGGCAGGGTGCAGCACCGGCAGATTGCTCTGGCCCAAACAGATTAAGTAAGATAGGGATAATGCTTGTAAAGAAAAGTCACTAATAGTCACAGCTTGAAAGACATGGTCAGGGCTGTGTTAAGGCCTTTAGGGACCCTGGGCACAGCTAAGGGATTCATAACAAAAATATAAAAACACTTCCTGACTGTGAAAAGCAGATGATAAACGGAAACCTCTTAAGCCAATAAGGCATAACGGCATTTAGGGATCTCTCCTTCGTGTCCATTTCCACGTTTATAAAATAATTTTTAGCAAATTACTTAAGAGCTTTATACCCTGTACCCAGGTTCTATTCTAATTAATATACAGTGCTGCTCCTATGGCAAAGCATTTTGTGCAGCAATTTTCTTCCCATTTTTTAATGATGCAGATGGAGCTTTAATTCAGATTTTGACAGCTCTATGTTTTTATACTTATAATAATAAATGCACATTATGATAATATTGTCTATAATCAACTAAACTGAATAGAGGAAAATGCAAGATGTGAAACAAATTTTTTGTTGTTGGTTTTTTTTTAGATTTTAATGAGATAGCTTGCATCCTTGGTTAGACAACTTTCATGTCATAGTGTAAGTGACTACTAGTTTATCAATTCCACCCAATGTCAACTTTCATGTCATTGCGCAAGAGACTACTGCTACTAGTTTATCAATGCCAACCAATGCTGTGTTTCAGTATGCTGAAGATGACTTCTTTATACGGTAATGTCTCAGTGTTATGTTCATTTTCGTAACACTAAACATTATTAATGGACATACACATCTAAAATTGCAGATTCAATCAATGTATTCACTCAGTGTATTAACGTTTAATTTTATTCAGAGGAAGATTGAAACTAAATCCAGAGAACTCTTGATTTGAACAATCCCAAATCCTTGTTGTCAATTGCACTTTTGTAAATAAAACAGATGTCATATTTATTTATGTAAAAATCTAGATGGTCTGCCCTGTACAGAGCCATTTTGTTAGCCAAGATTGAAGAGCATTTCCAACTTAAGCAATATTTTGGGGTTCCAAGAAAATCAGCCATCTCATCCTGCTTACTGGCTGAGCCATTTAGCCCTTCTCACTCAGTTGATACTGTTGTCAAAGACTTACTAAAAATAAGTTTTTGTTTTTTTAATGTAGGTCTTGAAACTAGAAAATAAATATTTAGAAAATTGTATTCTTTGTTTATTAGGGAATATTAAAAATCAATTATTCTTTTTTATTTAATTAAAATCATTTTTAAAAAATGTCTTTGCTTTCTGCTGTTACCAAATTGAAAATAAAATAATTACATTATATGGTATTAGCATTGTCCACCAACAAAAGTTTAAAGTGACAAAATTGCTAAAGAGTTACTTAGTTGGAAGAAAAGAAAATTTGAGTGATAATGAGAATTACCTCATAAGTATGACTATGATAAAACTGAAACTTCTTGTCTGTCCTTTCTAATGGAGTTTTAATTGTCTACTAATTCAGAGGACACAGCTTTATTTAGGAACACAGTCGCCTCGTGTAAATGGAGGGCTACATGAAGATGTATGCTGACCTAGTACTAGCTGTTCTTGTACATTGTCCTAGAATTATTGTACATATTATTCCATAATGTGTATGTCATACAGCTTTAAGTTAATGTTAGTAACTGTATATACCTCAAGGACCACTGACAGATTTCCTGTCATAATGAATGTTTTATGTAAATATAAAATTGTTTCATTTGTCTCATAAGTTGAAAGTTCAACATGGTTCCAGCGCCTATCGCTTGGTCACTTTTTAGGGCAGTTAAAAAACATCTGATCAATATTTGAACAATTAACACATGAACAGCAAGATGTAATTATATAACAACAAAAGACATCAAAGAGCTTGCTTTTTATTTTGAAAAATATTAGTGAGCGAGACTATAAAAGAGTCCAAAACTGATGTGACATATTTCTTTTAAATGTCTCCCTTTTGCCTTGTATGTACATTTATGTACAAACACTCATTCCACAATGTGAATGACAGCTAGGGCTGCAGAGAATCAAGGCTAACATTGCACTCCAAAGTAACTGCATTTGGTAAAATATTAGCCGCTATTTCATTTAAGTCTCATTTAATTTACAGCAATATGTAAAGTTTGTTCACAGCAGTTGTGAGCATGTAAAGTTTGTTCACAGCAGCTGTGAGAATATTCAAAATGTATTCTGCATATTGAAATTTTATTGTTATTGTTCAGCATCACACATTGTAAAAAGTAGCTACCCTCTGACACTATCACACCGTTGTTGACAGATGCAAATTCCTCACAAAAACATGTTTGTGAAGTAACATTCAAATTCATCCTCCCTGAAAAAAAAAAAACAATAAAAGCTATTTATTAAAAAAGTTTGATTATCATGTTTGAATGAATGGAGAAATACTTGTGTTTAACTACCTGGTGCAATGCTGTAGTGACAGAATGAGATTTTAATTATAAGCATTATGCATGTTTAACGATAATTATTAATTTTTTTCATTTTTGTTGTAAAGAACTAGGGGTTGGGCCATGGTATAACTTCTAATATAACAATTTATATAATAAAAAGGAAAGCTTCCCAATGAGAAAATAATAAAGAAATAAGACATTTTAACATAATCAAGAAATAGTTATTACTTCGATGGATCTCCTTGGCACCATCTGTCGTTTTATAAAAAAAAAAATTTTTCAAAATGATGTCTTCACCTAAACAACTTACTGTGTGATGAATAAACGAAGCAAAAACTTTATTACACAAAACACCATTACGGTGAATAAATGATGGGACTGATTTGACATTATTTTATACACACCTGGATTTTTCTTCTGTAACTTTGAGAGGCTGACTCCAGATTTCCTGGTCCTCTATGTCACCTTTGTCTTTAGGGCTTTTATCTGCTCTGTCATTCTGTGATGGACCTGCTGTGGACTCATCTGATAACAATGTACATATATAATATCGTGCCTCACCAATATTACCAGAAAAGCCAGGTCTGAATGAGAATTTCAAACTCTGGCTTGTTGGTTAAACTAAACTACAGTTATACTACAAAATTCTTTAGCATGTAAGGCTAAACTTTCTTTCTACTTCAAACAAATATAAAACTCAACAACACATTCCAATTCATTTTGTTCAATATTTTTCTGTAGTGGGTCCACACTGTAAACAGTTCCAACAGTTTATATGTTATCAAAATGTACTAATATTCAATTAATGATAATCCTTCTTAAGTCTGTCAAAACTTTGTACAAGTTAGAGCAATGCATTATATCATAAAACTGAATTCTATCTCTCCTTTAAAAGCTACTATTGTCAAGAATTTATTGTTTGAAATATTGTTGGGTTTTTTTTAAATTAAATGTACAAGTATTTAATTTCTAATAATTGACAAACCTGAGTGACGCTTCTTCTTTGTGTTTGGTTGACTAGGTGCGGTAAGGTTAGCATTTTCTTTCTTCTTTTTTTTGGTGACATCTTTATGTCTGTAAAAAAAAGAAAAAATGCTATCATTGTGTCATTGAAATTTTTCAGTCTAGGTAAAATTAAACTGACACAACTATTCAATATTCTTATTTGGGATTATCAAGGCCAGTTATTGTATTCTTACTTGGAACGATAATTGAGTTTATACGAACAATCAGGACAAAGTCGTAATTTCACCAAAGCATTTTTCTTTTGTCCCGACTCTACATAAGCAAAATTGACTTCCCAACTCCTGAGCCCACTTTCATCTTCTGTTTCTTTGCATGCCTTGTTGCCACAGATGAATTGACCTGAGTTACATACAAAAAATGTCATATTGATGCTCAGTGATAAACATGCTCAAAAGTTGAAGGAAACTTACAGTTTATTGTATCAAAGGAAAATTTAATTATAATAACATAATGATATCAAATTGAAATATTAAAACAATTTTTTTTTTTAATGTAATCATAGCTTTTCCTTTGAAAATTCAAGTGGAAGATAGAAAATTACATGTTTGTTTACCTTTGCCATCAATTACTTCCTGCTCTATTCGCCATCTCATACCAATCTATAAAACAAGCAAAAAGAAGCAATCAAGTTGTATGCCATTAACATTAATTATTATACAGAACCACAAAAGTTTAGGTCTAAGTCTCCTTATGTTATGAGAGACATCAACCAACAACCAGTTAAGATCACCAATAAGAGTATCTTTAACTGCTTAATCTAATGGCATGCAAAGGAGATATATTTAATTCCAGATAAAAGCTACTATAAAAATTACAAGTGCAAGCACCAAACAAAAAACCAATAAAAACCTTCGCTAAACAATGAATGGCAAAGGGTGGTAATAATTAGCATATGCTTGACCTAGCTAGCAGTCACTGTGGTCAGTACAAACTTGTCATTATAAATTAAATAAAGAACAAATTTAAACTTTGATCTATTCTGAGACAAAAGCCCTTGTCTAAACTTACTTTGTTTTCCTTGTAGCGGCTTAAGTCAGCAATGCAGTATTCTTTGAATAATTTATCATAATACTTTTTTGCAAGTCTTTTTTCCCTTGAGATATACAAAACACAATGTTATACATTAAGCTATGTAAACAAAATACATAAGCAGCATCAAGCCGGAGATATTAAATAAATTAAACCAGAAAATAATTTTATAATATATTTATAACCTTATAACATGCACTGCATTGTTTAGAAAAAAATGGACTTAACTTCAAATGTGAGTATAATATCATATATCAAATACACTTTTTAAGTATAACACTTTTACGGTCTACCTCTAACCTCCAACCTTCGACTCTGACTCCCAGCTTCCCATATATGCTCATTCATAAATTATTTTATTTCCGTTAAGACATACCAGGACACTTCAGCTGCCTCACTTTCATCCCACAGAAACTGGTGGTGTTCTTTTATCACATCAAAATCTCGTTTGTCTCCAGAACTGCAAACACAGCAAACATTTCGTCAGCTTCTACAACAATAGGCACATTTTGAAATTTACTTTTTTTTAGCTAAACTGGTGAGTTACTTTAATCTGATTTAATGGGCAATTATTCTCACGTGGGAGTAGTAGTTAAATAAGAAATAACTCTTGGGCCAGGATGACAAAACACACCAATTGTATTCATACACAACGTTTAGATCTACGTGTTCAATTCAAAATTCAATAAAAATGTTAGCACGATTAACTAAAGAAAAGAAATCCAGAGCTTTAACATTTAGAAGAGCATGAAGACCATTCAAAATTATAAACTTTTCAACACTTAAGAAATATGATATTCCTGAACGGCTAACAAAGTTTTAAATTTAAGACACTGTTGCAAGTAAATAAGTAATGATGATATGTAAAGATTTCACCCATTTCATGTTTTTTTATTTTTTAAAAGCATTTTAAAGCTGAAGCAAAAGTATATAATAACCTGTTTATAACTTACGTGTCTCTCTTGAATTCATTTTTTGAACCTCCATAATATAAGAGATAATTGTTTACATATTCTTTATGACGAGCATACTTTTTTTGTTAAGGTAATCATTATAAAAGCATATGCCGCTGACTTGTACAAATGGTTTGTAAATGTAGTGAGTTTTATTGGTTTTTTTTGGGTTTTTTTTAAATATGCCTGTAAACAAATATGTGAAATATATAATACAGCACAAAACACATCTTTAATGTCAATTAAAAAGGATACAGCATCCTTGGCAACTGCATGAAATCTGTGAGCTTTTCCTTCTTCTCTGTTAGAATATAAGAATTTTAAAAATGTTACTTCAAATTAATAAACTTGTAAGGTACAATTTTTTCAAATAACAGACATCGGGTTCATTGAGGCTGTAGAGCCCAAGGCGAGCACACCAAAATCGTATTCCTAAGGGGCCTAATCCTTAAAATAGACATAATATGCATATTATACTAACATACTTAACAAACTCTTCCTCCAACTGTCTTTTATTGGCAATTTTCACACGTGTCTTTTTTCCTGGCACCAAGTCAGCAACGGTGCGTCTAGAATAAAAAATATTTTAAACTAATTATTAGGTTTTAAAAATCACAAAAATTGTCCAAAACAAGAAATCAATAATATTATTTCTGCAATAAAAGTCATATACCTGATAAGTGTTTAAAATAATTAAAAAGTTATCAAAGACTTGTAAATAATCTTATGTTTAGTTAATCTATACTTTATTTATTTTAATAAATAAAACCTTTAAATAATGTCATGAGCAGAAAAAACAACACCTTCTTTCCTTGGCTTCAGCATCTGACTCAAAAGCTGAATCATATCCTCTGTCCTTGGGAATCTAGAATAGTTCAATAAAATTTTTCAGGGTATCTTAATGTCACTGTTGAGTGTTAAATTATATCTATGCCAAGTAGCCTAATAATAATTTTCAGCAAAGAAAAGTATACAAAATTTTAATTATTTAAATAATAACAACTTTTTCATGGTTCTCTATAGACTAAAAAAATAAAGTCTTAAGTTGGCAACAAGGTCACCCATTCCCACATGAATCATGAATGGGCCCTAGTAACAATTGCCATATAAATCATGAATGGGCTCCAATAACAAACAAATGATGTTCTTCCAAAACTAAATAATTAATATAAGACCAAGGCAGGTTATACACAGAATGTTTAAGCTATTGAAAAATGTGTACCCTGGTCCAGAAATTCCTTGAATAATTGAAAGGTGATTTATGATTTATCCCTGATGCACAAAAAAGTTGATATGCTTAATGATAGCTTACTAATGAAATCTCAAATAATGTAATCCAACTTTTTTCAATTCTATGTCTATTAAAAAAAAAAAACCAAATAAGCTGAATTCTGTTACAAAAGAGGGAGCACCATGTTCATAATACATATGAGGTTTGAAAATTTTGCTATTTTTTTATCTTTTGAATAGTCCCAATAGTGACTTAAAGAGGGGGGAGGGGGAGGGAGGGGGGGGGGGGTATTAAGATCAAAATTTGGAGATATTTGTCTAAGTCTAAGTCTAATGTGTGTAAAATGGTCACATTCCCATGTCTGTAGGCTAAGAATAAAAATATATTTAAATTGCATGAACAAGCCATCATTTAGCTAGTATATTTATTTAGCCAAATTTAGGCACAAGACAGGGCAGCAATAGTAATAAAAAAAATAATAGCTTTCACTTTCACTATCACTAGTTAATAGTCCTTGCGGCAAACAATGTGCGGGGTGCAAAGGGGAAATCACCCTGGGCTACACTTTTTGTATTTATAAAAGACATAAAATTGAGTGTGTGTTAAGAGGGCACACTTTGATTTAATTTTAATTGATTTGATTCAAATCATTGTTAATTGTAATTTTAAATTTAAAGACTTTAAATTTTAAAGTTTAATTTAAAGTCGTTAAATTAAAGTTAAATATTAAATAGTAACCTACATGCCTACGCCTACATGTTTAAGCTTATTTTTTACTTTTATAGAGACGTAAATAATTTCAAAAAGAATTTAATGAAACGTGTACAATGGGACTTTTGATTAATACAGCGTCGATACACATTGATTTAATCAAATAAAAATGCATACCTCCGAAAAATCAATTTTATCTACCATTGTTGACGATTAGTAGGATTGTTTATAAACTTTATAACTTATACTCTCTACTACGTGAAAATAAAACAAATTACTTCCGGTACTAGATTTCGTGACTTTAATAAAGAAAAGTAAATGTATTTTACAATAAACGGATTATTTCCCCCACAAGAAAATTCCCTACACTAAAATTCCGCACAGGATTACTCTTGGCTCGAAGATTGCACAGACAATAAACTCCTCACATGCAAAACGCCACATAAAGAATATTCCCCCCACTGCCCCCCAAAAATATGTCCAATAATAAATCCACCGGCCCTGCCCCTCCCGAAAAATCTGAAGTGCAACCCCCCCCCCCCCTTACTGAAATAACCACTGCTTCCTAGCACTGGCACTAAATAATAAAAAATAACAACATAATATCAAATTTTAAAGTTAAACCAATTACTCCTCTGATAATCAGCCTAATTATCTAATTGACACTTTTTGACAATCGGTAATCTTTTTTCTTTTAAAACAGATAATCAGCTAATCGGCCTAGTCTAGCCAAATAGCTTTTTTAAATTTTAGAAGTATGAAAAAATTCAGATGTGAATGTGGATTATTGAATTGGCCGATTTGATGGGTTTTTTATTTTAATTGTATCATTATTTCACCCAATTGGGAATGATCATTACCATTAGTACTATAATTACTATTACTCCATAAGTTACTAAAAGCCTAAAAGGGTCATCATCAAAGCTTCTTACTGGTCAGCACTGGGTGCCGCTTTTACGCGGAATGGCTCTGTCTATAGCCCACTATTTTAGTAATTTACCAGGGTCAGCTCTGGCTTCGTCGCACCCTGCCATAAAAAAACAAAACATTAATTCTGGTAGTGGAGCCCCCTGAGGGTTTGCTTTTAGCCCCAGCTTAGGTTCGTGCTTGACATCTTAATATTCCAGCTACATAATATACCAAACTAAAGTAAAATCATATTTTTCTTTGCTAAACAAAAATAACTACTTACATCCAGCGCTTTTTTTAGATTAAAATGTGTCAGTACTGTTACTTTAAATTGGGGGTGGCGTGATCAAGGGCGCTGAAAGAAACTTGTTATACGGTTTGGGGAGAGTTCTTAGTAAGCCCTTCCCCAGAAAAAAACTGCATAGCTGCTAGGAGAAAATGGTAACAGGAGCTTCCCCCTAAAATTTATTAATTTCTTTTTCTGCATACAACGAAAAGATGAATGTAATCGAAATAATCATTTTTAGATTCTTTTTTACTTAAAGAATAAGATCATGTCTTTTAATGACACATGTACGACAGCTTCTTAGTGCATTCAGTTTGTCCCTGCCACAGCAAGCATCTTCCTTCAGGTCTAGGCATCAAGTTTAAAGACGCTTCAGATTATAAAATAGCTCCAGAATGCCATCGAGAGATTCCTATATAAGATGCAATTGATCATAAAAGAACCGTCTCCTCCTTACCCTCATTCCTAAAACAGTGATATTAACAATATTCATTTTATTTTAACTCGAAAGATACAAATATTAATACACATACACAAATAATAAAATCTTGTAAGGCTCCAATAAGTATAATATGCCTCTTTAAGTTTCGTGTCAATGAAATCTCGAAAATCTCTCTTCCTCCTGGGAAAGCTATCGGCTTATTTATAGTGAGGCAGTTGGAACCCTCCATAAAATAAAATCTAGAAATTGCATCACACGATAACATTCTTTACAAAAATTTAAAACGTAAAGAACCTTTCCCCAACCTTTGCTGGTGGGAAATGGTAATGCACTACACACTTAATCGGTGACGTCACTATATAAAAAATAGGGTGGGGGGATGCGAGAAGTGATTGATGATTTATAACAGTGAGATCTCTAAGGACACTTGACCAATGTAACAAAAAATTAACTTTTTAGTATCCTTTTAATGGTTATTTTGTTACTTGACTCAGTTTTGTGATAGCCTGGGACAGCTCTGCACAAAGTTGGAGTGAAACGTCAATTAAGAAGGAAAGTATTTTAAAATTACCATATTGAAAACACTTTTAAATTACTATAGACACTAAAACAACTCTCAACATAAAGGAAAAAAACAACATTTTCATTCCATAAGTTTTATTTTCTCCTAAAATTCTATAAGCACATCATTTGTGTTCAATATGACTTTAAATATTAAGCATTTAATAATTCAGGTTAAAGTAGTGGTTCACTGACAAACATAATTACATTAAGAAGACATAATTTAGATGTAATGTACATTAACAGAATGTTTTTAACATATTTTCTTCAAAAAAATTTAAAGCCATTTAAAATTGTGATATCAACCCTAACATTAGGGATTTAAGAAAATCTGTGCTCCTTGCATCTTGGGGCTACTTCTTTATGTTCTGTTCTATGTGTAGTGTCAAAGGTCACTACGTCACTTATGAGCATAATAATCAGATATGTTTTTTAAAACTTTTATTGCTTAAAAATTTAAAAAAATACACAGTTAATTTATTTTAAATAGTTGAATATGTAAAATGTGAAACCGCTGTTCTAAGTTGATTTATTAATTGATAACTATTTTTGTTTCCCCTGTCAGGCAAAAACAAAACTTTTTTTTTTTTTTTTTTAAAATTGGGTCATATTAAACTTAAACCCTTAGAAGCAATTTTTTCAATCAAATAAACTACAAAACTAAGTTGATTTATTAATTGATAACTATTTTTGTTTCCCCTGTCAGGCAAAAACAAAACTTTTTTTTTTTTTTTTTTAAAATTGGGTCATATTAAACTTAAACCCTTAGAAGCAATTTTCTCAATCAAATAAGCTACAAAATTCCTCCTGATTATGTTATTATGATGCTAACAAAATGCATACAATTAATTTACATCACATTATAAAAAGTCATGTGATTTAAAGCAGTCAATTTATAAGAAAAAAAAAGAAGTCATTAATACTTTTACTGTTATGTTTATAGACTCTCCCTAATATAGCACATTCATTACTTTGATAATTTTGTCAATTTATCCTAAACCAAATATAATGCTTAACAGTCAAGTTATGAAATAAACAAATGAAACGTTTCAAACAATATATGGATAAAAGGAGAAAATATGGGATTACAGTTTCTGTATAGATTTTTTTTACACCGGAATGCAAACAATAAGATTAACAATAACAAATATCAACAATAAATGTCCAGGCAGTAATAGGTCATGGTAGTTTTTGATTAGGCATGGCCAGAGCATGATGTGCAGCTGCACCCATCAGGTACTTCGTACTTTTGGTCAATAAATGTCCCATCTGTGCATGTTAATCTCACAGTCTGCTGATGGAATCTGTTGGGCTGGCAACATTTCCTTTTGTTTTTAACTTCACCAGACACACAGAGCCCTGAGCACTCTTTCAGACTGGGGACAGGCTCAGTATTTTTGCAGACTACACCAGGACGTGGAACTTGAAAGAAATACCCAATTGTTTTGTTGACGTCCGTGAATATAGACTGCGGTTTGCATTGTCCAGCTTTGTGAGTACCGATATAAGCAGAGTTTTTCTCTGGGGAAACAAAATTATAGTTACAGTAGGATACAATACTTTTTAAGAATTATTTTTAAAGAAACCCAAAGTCTCAAACAAAGTAAATGTATGTCACATAGAATTCATTTAAAACATGACTTTAACTTGGTATGCTTGTAACTAGTTTTGTAGTGTTGTGTTCATTTTAAATGTGGTAAATAATAGATTGTTGACTTTGTACTGCGCTTCGAGCTTTTGGGGATGAAGCGTGTTTTTCAAATAAACTTTATTATTATTATTATTATTATTAAAACATGAACTGACTACATGACTGATAATCGTCTACACAATCAATGACTCCATCACAATGTCTCTAACATAATAAATGTAAGTTACATAGGATCCATTGAAAACATGAACTCACCACATGACTGTTCATCATCTACACAATCAATGACCCCATCACAATGTCGGCCAGCAGGGATGCACAAACCTGTACCACACTGGAATTCATTGGTGCTGCATGTATCACACTGGCAGCTACAAGTCTTCTTGTCAATTATAGAACTTCCCTGCACATGAAAGAATGCAAACATTTAACAACCGCTGATTTTTTTTCTAAAGATATAAACTAATGTAAGATACTTCTAATACAGCTGATTAGAGCTAGGTACATATGCTTTCCTAAATTTATTAGCATGAAATGGTCTATTGGAAAAATAATGACATTTCATAAAGTTTAAGAGTTGCCTTTCCACTACTTCAAATCACATTCCCGTACCACACAAATGATTTCCAGAACATTTAGTTTGCTGGCTCATAAGTCTAATGGATTACAAAATCAGCTCTGACTTACAGTTTTGCAAGAAGGACAAACTTTTGGCATGCAGATGACCTCTCCCCCAATACATTGGCAGGTATCACAGTTGGAGTTGCGGGTAATGCCACCAGACTGTAAGATTATGCAATACATTTAATGACATTTTGAATTGTTTTTTTTTAAAATTTGTCATTAACTTGAAAAGTGTGAATACTAAATTTATCACTTTTATATAGGGTACTACTTTGTTTAAAAGTGTTAGAATAATCCATGGAAAATTACAATTTAAAACACTGGGGTAGTTCCATTAAACATTTCTGTAAATACACATTAAAAGCTTGATGTTAACATTAACAAGATACTGTGTTGGATTCTTACTCTTATAATTTTATCTTCTACTGCACAAGGGCAATCTTTCTTAAGAACACAAGCAACACCATTGCAGTAGTAGCCCGGAGCACAGCGGCCCGGACAGTTTCTTGTGTCCATGCCAGGATAGCATGTCAAAAGAGATTTACTTTTGTTCTTCTTTTGTAAATATGCAGGGGAGGCAATCTTTGCCACTGTAAACAAATAAAATGCAGTATAAGTTATAGTAGTATTAAGTAATTTTTTTAAAAATCATAGCAATTTTCAGTTTGAATATTTGAAAATAGTTTGCAACAGGAATAAATATTTTTGAAATCACCTTAGAATCTGCTTATCCATTTACTTAAAAACTAACATGCATGGATATCTAAGAACCAGCAGAGGTTTAACTTTATTTGAGCT